CCCCCACGCTGCCAGTTATTTCTTCAATGGGCTACCTGGACGGTTTCTGGGAAGAGGTGGGTGCTGGTAGGAACAATGCCAAGCCCATACTTTGTTGAGAGTAAAAGCTTCTCCAGAAGTATTTTTACCAGTGTACTGCAAAAATAAAATGGGAGAGGGGTAGAAGTCAAGGGACAGAACTTTAACCACATTGACACACGATAAAGCATTTGTTTAATTTAGCCAACGAGCTAAGAAGATATGGGAAGGGTGGTCTTGGCTAGAGACCACTTGTGTAAGCAAGAAAGTAGCTGAATGTCTCTCTCTGTGTTCAGTTTCCTTATGCAAAAAAAACACCTTTCTTTCTCCTAGACTTTGCTATAAAAATGCTACAGAGCTACACGTGTGTGCGCGCGCATGTGTGTACACGTACACAACAAAATGGGTCTCTGATTTCTGAGGCCTTCTGGTGCTACTGTCATATAAATAATAAATATATGAATGATAAGGAGAATGTAGCTTGAAGGATTTTAAAAGTGGAGCCAACAAGCACAAAATGAATGACATTTTCAAGGCAACATTTATTTGTGATTTGGGGCCAGAGACTGCACTGACCCTGTGTGGGAGAATGGCACTAGCGTCTTGTACAGAGGTGTCAGCATGACCCACAGGCAGCATGTGGGGTGCACCAGATGGCCCAATACGCTGCATGTGGTGTCCGCTCCCGCTCATGTTCTGGAACAGCAGAGTGGCTGCCATATGCGGCACTGCCCCACAGTGGAAGTGGCTTCAGGGCCATGCAGCATAGCTCTGGAGACTGAAACAGGCTGGGGCTGCACACCATGCCTGCTTCAGCTGCTCCAGGACACACACTGGATCTGGAATGTGGGGATAGTTTGTAAGCCCAGTCCAGCCAGTGGACCAGCTCAGTGCTACTCATCTGGTCCACAGGGATGAGTTTGAAACCCCTGGTCTAGCACCATGGAGCCCTGTTAACCACCTCTAGGCATTGTTAGAGGACAAACCAGAGCCACCTTCACCATGAACATGTCTATAGTTTACCAGTACACAGCTGGCATTCAGGGCAAATTGCTCAGGGAAGGAAAAGACATAATTCTATCACCCTTGATGGAACTGGGCTCACTCACTCTAGAGTGGAATTTGGCCACAAGCAGTAAAGAGATCTCAGAAGCAATGTATCTGAACTACTTCTACTGCATCTGAATTGCCACAGGAGGAATACCACACATGAAAACATTTACAGGATAGCAAAGTCAAGAACCCGTTATAGCAGTGACAGGTCAGATCTGGACTACACTGACCCTCATCCCATCACAGAAGTGGTGCACATTACTTGTTAACACTGGGAATCTGGGACCCAGCGAAGATTTCGCTTCTTCCACTGGTCTTTGGTTCAAGGTCTAAATGGAAACACTTGCACAGGTGCATGTAAGAGGATGATGTGGCCATAATAAAGCTCTGATGCTTTAGTTTGCCATCAAGGTAATGGATATGATACTGCTGAGCACGAGAACCTGGAGGCCTTGTCGGATTTCCTGTTGCCCCACTGTAGCTATTCTTGCCAAACAAGCATTGTTCTTAGGATGTACAAGCATTCAAGTAACGTGATATGTTAGTTCAAAGTTTCAACTTTATTGCAAATTAAAACCAGTAATAAGGGTCTTTCTTCCCCCTTCTACAGAACTAAGAAAAGCACCCCGAGTAAGGTAAAAACAAACATAGGCTTGTATAATTAACGAAGAGAACACATGCCATGCAACAAATTCTATCTGGACTTGGTTACAATTCTTGCACATTTGTGTACTGATCCAATAAAAAGCTGCCATTTCACTGAGCTGTCATGGTTTGAGAAAACCTCACTCACTTCAAGGTGAGGGAATGTTCAAAAAGAAAAATCAACCAACACAAACAAAAACTCAAGCTTGTTCATAAGGTAGATGTTAAAAGGCTCATTCTTTGGTTGCAAGATTGCAAGTCTTAGGCTGCAATGGAAAGGTCAGGTATTTTGAAAAACAAGGAATTATTTATTACTTTTTGGACCCCATATATAATTTATTGTCACTGCAAACCAAACCAAACCAAACCAAACCAAACCAAACCCTCCTTTTAGACATCTTTGTACTTTAACACTAGGAAAGGTAAGATAGATTTATTTAATATATATATTTATATATATTTTGTGTATATATATATATTATATATATATGTACACACACATATATACATAATGATGCATTTAAAAGTTAATGTTTCCTTGGTGATTACAATATCATTTTTCTAAATTGCTCACAGTTGCAATGATCACAAACTGATTCCAACACTAAAAATATTTTGTGCTGTGTGCAAGGAATTTCAACAAGACACTGCTAGGCATTATCGGATTTGTGACAGAGCTAGAAAGAAATGCTGTCTCGGTGTTCATTCTCCAGGCTCCAAAGAGTAAAAATTGGTTATTTTTGTGGAACATCAAGAAAAAAAAGCTGCCAGGTATCAGTGTGCAAAAGCAATGTAACATTTGAGCTCAAGACACGAGGTTTTTTTTCCCTTAATAAAGAGAGGAAAGATAAAGGTGATTCTAAATGCTATTCAGAATTTAAGAGAATGGATACATTTAAGACAGTGATTCTCAACCAGCATACCGCAGCACCCTGGGGTGCTGCAACATCTTTTCAGGGGTGCTACAGGGTGCCACATGATATTAGCATTGTTGGGTGTGCAAATATGATTCACAAAAGAAACACAATGATTTTAAACAAGAATCCATGCATTTAAAAAAATTCTGACCTGTTGTAGTCTTTTTGAGTTCTTTGCAATAGAAAAATGACTATATTATTTTTCCATGATCAAAAATTGAGTGAAAATTCAGAGCTGACATTTTCTGAGGGTGCCTTGAGTCTAAGGAGGGGTGCCTTTAACCTAACAAGGGGTTCCTTGAGCCTAACAAGGTTGAGAACCACTGATTTAAGAAAGCAGGAAAAGAGAGTCAGCTGATTCAATCAAACTTTTTTGTGGTGTCAGGACTGAAACAGATTTAGAAAAGAATCCCTCTTCCTGCTTAAAAGTAGGACTCACATCAAAAGTCCCAACATGGAACAGGAAATACTTGTAACATTTCCCAACTATCCCTGGAACCTGTAACACATGGTCCTCTGATCAGATACGGCAGGAGTAGCAAAGCAGTGGGACAAACAGGGATAAAACAAAACAAAACAAAATTTAGCCATTAATATTCTAGTTTCAGTGTAAGGCCTCATACCCCATCAACAGGGTTATGTTATCTCAAAGTCAAAAATACTTTACGCTTTCACATTCTGTTGCCCAGAAGGGTGGCTTAGTTAACCTGTGCCATGATAAAACTGGATTCTCTCATACTTTCGTAATACTCAATGGCTAATGCAAAGTCAAACTCATTGATGGTGGGCCCATCTATGGCGATCTTCATGAGGTTGGACAGGCCTTCATCTTTTGCATAGCGCCACTGGCTGCGTTTCACGAGTTCCCTCCCCCGGTTAATTTTCTCATAAAGCACTGAGCCAAGAGGCAAGGCCAACGCAACAGCAGCCAGGACAGCAAAGTCAGGAAAGAGCTCGTGCATTTCAGAATTGCTGTAAACCAGCTTGATGCACAGATCCTTAAAGGACAGTTGGCTGAGGCTAAACACTATCCGTTTGAAGAGGGGAAAATCATTTAGAGCCCTCTCGCTCACCACCAACCGGGAATATGCCTGCAAGAGGAAGTTCAGCTCGCTGATACCATAGCTGCTGATATCATCCAAAGACTGAGGGTAGCACTTGGGGTTAAAGATGGCGGAGAATGAGTTGACTGCCTCCAGGACATTGCTAGGGAACCGATCCAGCAGGTTGTCCCGCACACTCTCAAGGTAGGTCTCCTTCAAATGCTCAAAGTTTTTCAGGTGTACCTTGGAGCAGTTGGCCAGCTCCACTCCTTTGTAGTAGAACCTGCTTTCATCCTCGCGGTCTTCCCGGGGGTGCTCATTCATCTCATTAAGGAACTCCTGGAAGTTCTGGCCACTGGTGATCTTCTGGGCTTGCAGGGTGGTGGCGGTAGCGGAGACGATGGGTTTGAGGATGGAGAGGTCAAAATCTTCAATTTGGAAGAACCGGCTTAGCTTCTGGAAGATGGGGAGGACATCCAGGAGGATCTTGGTGAATGCCACAAACTGGAACTTCTTGAGCTCTTCACAGAGGCCAAATGCCACAGGGGATCTCTCTGACTCACTCTCTAACAGAAGTACCAGTGTGGGCCATGAGGAATCGATAGCTTCCACTGCTGGGAAGATGGAAGTCCAGTGGATGGTCTTAGGGTCCTCTAGGTCTATCTCGCACAGATCCAGGACACTCTGAAGCTCTTGGAGGCTGTTACTCTCCCCTTTGAAGTTGGAGTAGAGTCTGTAAACAGCATCCACCGTAGTTTCATACTTCTGGACATATTCTATATTAATGCCACTCTCAGAGGGTAGAAGGGAGTTCCTATGGGATATGCAGTGCATCTCGGTGAGGAGGGGGCACATGGACTTCAGCTTAGTCCCCACCCCATTAAGCCTGTCAGCCATCAGAGAAGAGCTGTCAGAGCTGAGCCATGTGATCTTCATGGTGGGAACTCCAAAAGAATGCATTACCTCAACCACTTTGTCTGCCACAGTAGATGCCTCCCCAGCCGGCAGCTCAAAACTGCCCAGGAACGTGATTGAGGTCTGCCCACTGCACGGTGAGACCGTGGTTGTAAACATGATGAGGTTCCGATGCTCCATGACATCAACCGTCTCGTCCACCACCAGGCCAATGAACGGTGATGCTTTCATCTTGTGCCTGTCCTCGTTGTGAAGGACTTTGACGATCGCTGCCTGGGCCAGTTAATGAAGCAGCAGGAAGTTGGGAGTGGGTGCGGGAGGAGAAAAAAATTAAAATGAATTTCAAAAGCACATGGGAGATATGCAGCACCCGTGACAAGATAAACAACTGCAAGGTGTACAGACAGATCTGATCTTGCTTAAACCAGCGTATGTAACTCTGATTCAGGAAAGCACTTAAGGAAAAGCACATTGCTTTTCAATGAGCTTTAAGATAAAATTTTCCAAAGGACTGAAGTGATATGGAAGTCTACACCATGTTTTCCAAAGCAAGTCCACGGGAATCAATGAAAACCAATGGTATTTTGGCTATCATTTAAAAAAATATCTCCATAACAAACCAAAGTCCCTCTGTCTTTTGATGAATCTTAGGTTTTTAAGAGTTTAAACTATTTTTTAAACTAGGACTGCAATGCTTTTAAAAATTCAGCTTCTGGCTCATAAGCTTCTTAAGAAACAGTGAAAGGCAATAGGACGTGGGCACTTTTTACCCTGAAAAATGCACTTAAAAATGCTTAGGCACCTTTACTGACATAAATTTTACCTGGAGTTCTAGCTTAAAATTTGGAGTAACTCCACTGGAAATCCCATGGAGTGACAGATAACAGGGTCTAGCTCTTGGTATTTAGCATCTTTTACATGAGAACTTCCACTGAAGTCATCCAGGCAACACTTATTTCACAAAAAAACACATACTGCAATATTTGATCATAATGGTCCAATCCCTTTCATGTCATGTTCTTGCTTCCTGGCAGCATGAGGGAAATGACTTTGTCGTAAAATTATTCCACTAGAGGAGGGGTAGGCTTGAAAGCCTTTTGCTGGGTCAGAGGTGGGTAGACTCTCTGACCCAGTCCCCACTGCTGCTTGTCCCTGTGGTGGTACAGGAGAGTGCTGCAGCCAAGGCTGCCTGATGCTGAAGCCCCTAGTATGTGGGTGAGATTCAGTGCTTCCATGGGCTGGGTCTGGTCCATTGGATCTGTGCATTAGAGTTCTGTGGTGGTGTTTGTGCCAATTACTTTAAGATCCTGCAGTATTAGTATTATTATTAATGTTGTGGTCATAAAGGTGGGACAGAGTTCAAACAGGTTTGGTGCCACTGTTGTGGGTACTGCACAGAGAGGCAACTGAACCCCCCCAGCTTTCCCCCCGCCCCTTTTTTTTAAAGTAAACTTCTTGTTTAGACAGTTTGGGTTTCCAACAATGAATTTAAAGCTCTGATCCAGGAAAGCACTCAAAATACACACCTAAGGAAAGTGTTTCCCTAACACCCATGGACTTCAACAAGATTTACACATGCGTTCAAGAGCTGTCCTGAACAGGAGTTTTCCCCTCTCCCTACCTTGCTAACAACTCCCAAGATCTCGGCCTCATTTAAGTCTAATAAGAATACCTAAAGACCTGCTTTTTCTTGGTTACTTTGATCTATTAAGTCCCTGCTTTAAAAACAAAAAACAAAAACAAATCACGCATAGAAAAAAACAATGAAACTTCACGACATCTTCCTTCATAATTCCATTTTGCCTGTTTCATTAAAATACCAGTGGTTTGAAGGAAAAACTCCCCCTCCTCCCCTCCAAATGCCGCAAGCAGCACTAACGGACTGAAAAATCTAATTAGTGGGTTTAGTCTATCTGCAGTAAAATAAGTCTCTTTATTTATCTGAAATGATGGGCAACCAGCCAAGATTCGCTAAAAATTAATTTGATTTTAACAGGCATGAAACATTTGTAAAATTAAGAAAACCATCTCTGAATTCTTTGGCCACTTGATCTTGCTGATCACCCAGCTGAAGGCAAAAGCAGAAGAAAAAGAGGTCCACAGTGCTCTAGTATTCTAACTGAACTCCCAAGCTTTTACTGTTAAAATATTCATCATTAACTTACTGTGAAATCTGTCACATTCAAACAGTAGGGAGAAAAAAATGCTTCCGACTGTGCTTTCTTTTAAAGTACAATGATTTCCCATGTACATCAAAAGCACATGAATGGCAGGGTGAAAACTTGGTTCCCTATTTATTAATAAAGGCCAGCTCTTGATGGACCACAGCATTTCCTCCTGGCCCTTACAGTTCCCATGTTGCCTAATTAGGAATTGACACTGACAAGGTGTTGCATGAATTTTTAATACAGAGGAACGTGTCCTAAGCCAATGCACCCAAGGGACCAAGTAAAACGAGGGTTGCCCAGCGCAAGTAATCTTGTATAAAGGATTAGTGCCGACAGAGGCAGCCTGAATTAGTGGACCGAGCCAAGGATCGATGCCAAACAACTTGCCTCAGCTCCACGATTCTCCCTTGGGGATAAAAGCCCAGATGTAGAAGCCTTGTGCTGACCCCAAAATTCATGCAAACCTACTGACTTTTCCATGACTTGGTTTTTCCCATTGGTAAAATGGGGATTTAACTGCTTACCCCCTTCACAGCAGGTTTTGCAAGGGCTGTTTAGACACTGTCTGAAAGGCATCATAGGAAAACAGAACACAGTGAGAGCAATGAACTGTCATCACTAAAGATCTATAAAATGGTACTGGAGCTTGTGCAAGGGGGCACTTTAAAGTAGCTTTCAAGACAAGAGGATCTCTATTAAAAGGCAGCTTTTAGGCCCTGGCTCAGCAAAGCTTTTAACTACGTGTTTATACTCCATTGAAGTCAATGGGGCAGGGGGTACACTTGTGGCCCCTAGTCAGGAATGCATTTCAAACTTTAGGGACATTCAGAAGGATTGAGAATGTCTACAGAACAAGTGTGCCATACTGGGCAGCAGCACCCTCAAACACCAACCTGTTCCACACGGGCGGTCTCCACAACCAGAAGCAGGGTAGCTGCTTTAGTACAACCTTAAAGGCCAGCTAATTAGCACAGTCAGCAGTGCTAATCAGGCCACCCACACCACCAACTGGTTGTGGCCATGCTATTGGTAGGTGGAGAGGCAGCTGCATACAGCCTACTATGTCAGTGTACTCCATGTTAGGACACATGCCAAAGTGCTTTTGTGAACAGGGATGATCAAGGCTTGGGTCCCTGGCTGAACAGCAGCAAACTCCAGTCCATGCTTAAGTGTTTTGCTGAGCTGGGAACATTAAGACAGCTTTCCTCCTCCATGGATGAACTGCTGTGCGACATGGCAGCAGCAAGGTTAGACTGAAAGGAACTGCAGAAAGAGAACATGTCAGGACAGAACCCACCCTGAATACACACCTGCATCTCTTTGATGCTGCTGGGGTGGTAATACTCGTTGTGCTCTGAAGTCAGGAGGGCTTGACAGAGGTTAAGCTTCTGGAACTCGAGCAGCGAAGAGCACTTGTCGTCTGGGATCTCCTCCTTAGCCATCCAGTACACGGTGGTGAGGATGGCTATCTTGGTCGGGTTTACTTCCACCTTTATCACCGAGCGCAGTTCCTGGTGGTTGTGGACACGTGACTCAAAAGCCAGCTGCTCTCTGTTAACCGCTAGGGCCTGGCGGTGAGCTCCAGAAGTGACGTGCCGTAGCAGAGCATGGCGCTGGAAGTTGTCCGTCCCCACAGTAAAGGCATTCTCCGCCTTGCCATGTTTATTCTTCACCAGTGCCTGGCGACATTCTATGCAAAACATGAGTTTCCTTTCATAGTCAAACTCCAGCCACGTAAATTCTTCCTTCCAGTGCTCATTGAAATAGCGCTTACACTTTTTATTGGAATTGGAAGTTTCCCCAGCTGGCTTTTTCCCTGGAGGTACCATACTGCTGTGTCTGGGAAACCCAACACTACGGATGTACTGAAATTTTCCTTGAAGGAGCAGCCTCTACATTTAATTTAGTAAGGAAGGTTTATTACCACTTTCCTGGTTCGACTGGAGACGAAAGAGACAAGGGGAGAGGGATTAGGGAGCTGGTAAAGCTTTGTCTTCTCTAATTATTTGTTTTCATTGTTTAATGAAGGGTTAAGATAGCACTAACTACAAAGACCAGAGACCATCTACAGGAGGTTAACTGAATACCACTTGCCATCGGCACAGCAGGATCTCACAGACTCCTTAACATTCAGGTCCTCCCAGGCCAACAGATCCCCCCCAATCTTGCCGTCCAGAAGAGGCGGGGTGAGGTGGAACACCCAAGCCCAGAGCAAGGTCTGCATTCTCTCTCCAAGGAAGACATGCAGGTTACCAGAGCTTTGCCTTCCCACCACCCAAAAAGTCTGCTGTCCTCTGCGGCTCCTAGCTACAATGGGAAAGCATCAATACATACAGAGGGCTATTCCTTCAACTACCATGTTGCCCAGATATGCTCTAAGCAGGGATAGGCAACCTGGTGGTTAAGATCCCAGGGGCTGGTGTATCCTTGTACTCACAGTGTTGCTACTGTCCATGAAACTGCATTCAAGTGGCAGGCTATTTTAAGGAAACTGGTTGATGCAGATGCTCTACTTCACCCATGATATAATCCATCCAGGGACCAACTGACAGAAGTGTGGCCTCAAACAGATTATGCTGGAGGCCAACCATACTGAAACTACATGCCACAGTGGATCCTGTGAAGATGGAGAAGAATCATAATAGGCTTAAAATCAGTGTTTAGCCTCAGGAGGAGGAGTCCCAATTCTTCACCTTGCCAAAAGGGAGCCAGTGCTTTGCATTTTACTTCCTAACAGCAGTGGAAGCTGAGCTGTCACTTCTGATAATCAGCAAGTCTGTGGAACCCTTTCCAAAGGCAGTCTAAGAGGGCAAGAACAGATTCTCAGGTTTAACTTGCAAGCATGTTGTCTTCCATTAAAACCCATCACTATGGAGGGCTGGTCAATGTTCTGGAAAGCTACCAGCCTGGTGTTGGACTCCCTGGAGGTCTTCTCTAGCTGAGCACTGCTAACTCAGAGGCCTCCGACTAACTGAAAATCATGTAGCTAGAGATTTGCATGTGTGTGTATTAAACTTCACCTTGTTTATTTTCTATGTATAGGTGGTATATATGTACCAGCCTCACAGTAAGGTTCTGACACCTCCCTGAAACCAATAAGATTCCAGGCTCAGAAGACTTGGTTTGGACTGGTCCCTTATTTGGAAGACTGGGGAGCCAGCACCAAGTCAGTTTTCAGGAGGAAAGGTGTCTTGAAGTGGATAGTGCCATGAGTTCTCAAGAGATGTCCTTAAGCCCTGATGCAACAAAAAACCAAAAGGATGAGTTTAAACTCACCCATATTCACTAAAGAATTTAAACACATGCTAAGGCTTAACTAGGTCTTAGGATTATGACAGCACTGAGGCAGATGTAATGGAAGGAGAATGGATCCTACAAAATGAGAAGACAAGAGAAAGCGGGACTGAAGAATAAAGGGACATAAAATGAAAGGTGATAGAGACTTGCTCAGTGCGACCCAGGAAAAACTGGCCCAGCCTGTGCATAATGAGACAGTGGAACTCCTTGCTACAGGATGACACTGAGGGCAAAAAAATTGGCAAGACTTGAATGAGGAACTGTATAGTTTGAAGGTGACACAAATAACAGGAGTTACAATAATTAATGGTCACCAGCTTGAAAAGACAAACACCTCATGTTTTGGGGTTTAAACCAATCCCTTAGGAAGAGATGTTCTTGAGAGGCAGACTACCTGGCACCTGCTTATTGCTTGTGCATCTTGCAGCTACTTCTGAAGCAGCTGGAAGATACTGGATTGGGTGGGCCAAAGGTCCACTTTGCTATAGTAGTCTCTACGTACAGAGAGAAACAGTGAGCAAAGGTCATTACCATTCATGGCCACTCTGGAGTAAGTTTAGTGTCACAGTCTGATTCTTAACACTCGACAGTTGTCCAATTAGCACTAATTAGCCCCCCTACTGGTGGCCTAAACAGAAAGACAAGTGACTGCCCAGGCCAAGGACAGAAAATCTGGCAGGAAGTGGGGAGCACAGGTTGTGCCTGTCCTATGGCTAGATAGGGAGCTTCAGCCAAACACCTTCCCTCAGTGCTCAGCTTACTTGCAGTAGAAGGAGTAATGGGGAAATAAAAGGAAAGCAGGCATGGAGAAATGAAGAAATGAAAGAGAACTAGAGTATCGGCTGTTCGGAAGGAAAAGGGAATTAATGATAATGAAACCAGCATTCCTTCAAGCCCTCCCACGAACTGCAGGTGCAGCAAAGAATAAGGAGTCCCACAGCTCAGCTCCTGACAGGATAGGACTGGACACACAGCATGTGGCATCTGAGCCAGTATTGTGCACGCAGTGCCATAGCCATGTATAGTGCAGCCTTTGTCCACAGCCAAGCCTCCCTCAGAGCTGTGGGGTTTGCTACTGCTCTTTGGTTACAGTGTGAATGATGCAGTCCCCTCCTGGGTTCCCATCTTCTTTCCAGCAGCTAATAGACTCCTTTAAAGGGAACCTGCTACTAGTCTATCAACTCCACCTGCCAAGCCCCAATTTCATTCTCTTCCTTCCTGCCCTCTGAAACCATAGGACAACAGTGAGCTAGCAACACTGCTCCCTTTTTTTTTTTTTTTTTTTTCAGTTCCCTCTTCTTCTAGGCTGAAAAATGAAGAGGTCAAATATTTTCAGAGTCCCTCTCCTCCTACTCTTCCCCACAGCTCCTGAGGAAAGGATGGCTAAGATGCCCCATTTCCAGGTACTCTAACCCCACCACCTTCTCTCTACCACCTGGCTCCTCTTTGTGATGCTCCAAATTCTCAGCTTTCCAAGTCCAGGTAGCTGGATTAATCCAGCAGAAGGGAGGGCTAAAGATGCAACTGGAGCCAGAAAACATCCCAACTGTCCAGAGAGAAAAAAATAGCCCACGAAAGGAAATGAAAGCAAGGTGTAATGTGAAAAGAGCTTCCTTTTCACAAAACTACATGGGAACTGCATTGAGGAGTAACATGACCTCAGCTGGCCTGGGTGGTTAAGTGGCAAGGACTTATTGCCAACTACAGGACAGCCAGGTCTGTGGGGCTGGAAACCAGCCACTGCTAAGTCTGCCAGGGAAGCATGAGGTATCCTCCAGCCTGGAAAAGCAGCACCACGCAGCTGCATAGATGCCCTCTCTGGATAATGCCAGAGTCAGTTCCTGAAGACCATGCAGTATGGCAAGGGAGTGGGGGGGAAGTGCAGGGAAAAGGGAGTGAAAGTGAGTTGAGCACAGGACCAGGACCCAACTGTTCCACTCCTGCCCCCAACTCTTTCTCCCTTTTGAGACCTCAAACTGCTTAGTGCCCGAGCCTCAGTTTCTCCATTATTAGTATGAGGAGAAGAAGAGGTATCTGCCTCAGTGGGCAGGTTGTGAGGTTGACGTCGTAGCATCCATGTACCTACTGAACATGAATAAGTATTCTGCTTTCTCTCCAGGAAGAACTTCCCTACCATAATGCTGCTTTTCTGGCCAGCCAATATCACTGAAGGTCAGAGCAGCACAGACAGCACTTTCTCCCCACACGCTGGACTAGAATGGGGTGACTGCATCTCACAGGTCCTGTCCCCACACTCATCACTTCCTGATGACTCTATCCAGGTCTTAAAACTATCCCCGCACCCCTCCATACCTCTCCTCTCATTTTCTGCCTCCCTCATACCATTCTTCAAGTTAGGGAGAAATCCCCTCACCCCTCATCTGCCAAATAATTGTTTGCTCCCCTCCAAATTCTTCCACAAGCACAGATCTCCCACAAGGTCTTCCAACAACAGCCCATAATAGCAGGGATCAGATACACCTGCTCTGGGTTTAAACTTTCTCCTGGTGTATGTGGCAAATGGGCCATGTTCACTAATAGCCTCTGATGCAATGGGCTTTCAATCAGACCATAGAGAAAGAATAAAAGTACTGCTTGACTGGGTCAGAGCAAGGTTCAAAGCTGCTGCCATCAGATGCCTTTTGCCACAAGGATAGGTTTCTTCCTGACCCCAGCGAAGTGAGTTTGGCTGGCACATGGAAGAATGAGGATTGGTAGCCTTCTATCTTTTTTTGTCTATCCCATGTAACCTTTTTCATGTGCTTTAAAAAAAAAATCAAGGCCTCTTAAGGGCAGCTCTCAATCCCACCTCTGTCCAATGAAAGCCACAAGCAGTCAGGAAACAATTCCAAAAGTTAGAGGACGTTTTACAAAGTTTGCAGACTCCTTGTTTTGTTTGAGCCCAAGGGTCTTGTTGTGAAAGAGAGAAGCATCCTCTCCCTCCCCTCAGAAATATTAATTAGGAAGCTATTCTAGACTTGCCCACCTAAGAGTCAAAGCTAAAAGACCTCTTGCCAAATTTATCTTTTGCAGTTCCCTGTTACTAATATGCAGAGCCAGGGAAGCATGTCCACCAGATCTCTTGCCCCAGCTACTTAGCAGTATCATTCATGCTTTCCCAGAAGCAGCACAGGGTGTCAGGCACCCTGCTTCCCTGAACAGGACTCAGGATTTGCAGCTGATACAAGGAAGGAAAGACCAGCAAAGTAGCAAGAAAGACCTCAGAAATATACACTCCTGTTCCCCAAATCCCTACTTCCTCTAAAAGATGTCTGGCCACCTCATTCTGAAACCTTAGCAGCTCCAGGAAGTCCCTCTTCCCCAAAGACCCGGATCATCCTGTAACAGTGGCTAAGATGGGTCAGGGTCTGCAACACATATGACACTCTTAGATCCCTCCACCTTGTTCCAAGAGCGCCTTTGCTTACTCAGGAGGTAGCAGGAGTCATGGCTGTCCCTCTCCATATCTGATCTTCCTCCTAACACCCTCCTTGGGAAGACTCAGTGGAGCATCATAGAGTGTCTGAGTTGATGGAGGAAGGCAGGCACTGAAGACAAACAGGTGATATACGCTGTCAGGTGAGCAGGCTGAACCCCATATATCTCCCTACACAGAGGGACCCAAATCTCTACAGCCACTGAGGAGCCTGCACTTCTGTAATAACAGGCCTGATGATAATGTTCTGTAATAACATACATGAGAGTATGTAAATAATGTGCTGCAATTAAGTCTGTTTTCTCTGCTGCCTCCCCCGACCCCCAATACAGATAATTCATTAAAAAAAAATCAAAATAGGATGCTTGAAAAAAAGAAAATCACTACCCTAGAAAGATAAGAAAAAAAGAAAAAGTAGAACTACAAGACTTTTTGGAGTGGACAATTCTGCCCAGATCAAATGCAAGCATCAGACAAAGAAATAGCCTCTGCAGTCCATGGAGCCAGCAATCTCCACCAAAGCATGGGTAAAAATGCATTCAACCATCTCCTTGCTCCAGAGAGAGCACTTGGAAAAAGCAGGGAATGGCCAAGGGACAGCAAAAAGCAGCTCCTGCTGTGTGCTTCCTAGTTGAGAAACGGCTGTTACGGGTGAACTCCAAGTCTACTGTGGACTTGTACTTCTCACTGCTCTGCTAGCCACCCCTCTTCCTGCTGCTAACTAAGCAGAAAATTAGGAGCTGCATGTCCTTTACAATGAGATCTGTGGCAAGGGAAAGGGAAGGGGGCAGGGAAGTAACCACATTATTTCCAGTCCCCTCTGATACTTCACTCACCTCCAGGAAGTAACTTAGTCTGGGCAGAGAATTGCCTGCAGTGAAGTTTGGGCAGGATTTATTTTTAAGACAATAAGCTTCTATTCTTGACATCCAAGTCTCAAATAAATCAGCAAAAGCCCAGATTACACACGCTATTTCAATGCCACCCCTCAGCCTCCTTATCTTTTAAAAGCTTCTGATAACTGCCTAGAGAACAGCAGCATGCAACTCTCTGCCCCCCAACACACAAACACACGCGCACACACACATACACACACGGACCCCAGCCCTGCAACACCCAACCCCACATGCCAGCCCCCTCCCCACTACAGATACATACCATGGAAACGCTGCCATAAATTTAGAGTGAGGGGCCTGCAAACTTCACAGGATTTTAGACAAAAACGAAATGAAAACTAAAACAAAAAAACCCAAATACAAAACCAAACCAAACCTTTTCAAAACCAATATTCAACCCCCTCCAGCCCTAGAGTGAGCCACTCTGTAAGGCATCAGGATCAGAACAGGGCTGGTGCTGCATAGCGCACCCTCCCCCTCACCCTCCCTGCCTCTCTCCTCTCGCTGCAAAGAAAACTGTGCCCGAGGAGAGGCAGGGATCTTTCGAAACAAAGACCTGCAGCTCTGCAGCCCCTGCACACACTCACTGGGACATGGGAGCAGCCATCTTGCTCTGAGGACTCTCTGGCTGCTCAGATGCTCTCAGCCTCCTGTGGCTGTAGTGGCCACTAGTGGTGGCCAAAAATGGAGAAAGTTTTGCGGTGGCGCTGCACCAGGTTTGGCAGGAGGCAGCTGTAACCTGCTTGGTCAGGACAGTTGCTTGTTCAACCACAAAGCCATGGGCCCCACTGGCTGGGACCCTGGGCTGAGGCTGGGTACGAGGAACTGTCAGCACTGCATGCTGTTGATCTTCTTAATGATCATCGTAATTATAGAGAAAAGTTGTTAGATGTGTTACCCTGAAATTTGGCAGAAGGCAGGGCAGCGTGGCACCTTAGACACTAACTTCTCTGAATCACAACATCTGACAAAATTGGCTGTAGCCTACAAAAGCTCGTGCCTCTCCGAACAAGATAGTCCAAAGTGCCACGCTGCTCTGCCTTCAATCTTCATTATGTTAAGGTGGCAATGCCAAGGCATCCCAAGTGAGAGGAGTGTCTCCATATTGCTAGGTGCTGCGCTTACACAGACAGGAGAGGAGGCGAAGGAGGGGTGGTTACCCCCACTCTCTCCCTGTGCAGGTGGGGAACTGAGCCACAGATCGACAGAGGACTGGGTTTTAAAGGTGCTCAGCTCCCAGCCAGGCACGCAGGCAGGTTCAAACAGCGCAGTCCTACCACTGTCCCTATACCTGTGATGGGCTCTTTGCAAAGTCTGACCCCAAACTACCTAACCAAAGTCACATGGCAAGAGTAGTGGAAAGGTGGGAAATAAATTCTGGTCTTCTGCATCCTGTGCCTCCAACCCAGGGTGTTTACAGTAACTCCCCATCTTGCGGTCCACTTCTATTAGTGCCCATTACTGCTGTTTCCAAGCATCTTAAATCCAGATTCCTCCTGTCTACCAAGTCCAAAAAAAACAAGTCCAGAAGACAGATGTCTTTACCTGAACAAAGGAAGATCACAGGTTTGGCCCCTTCTAATTTTTGCCAAATATCTGATTTCACACAACCCAAAACCCACACCCTGGCATAACAGTGCCTGGTCCAGAAGGCAAAACCTTGTTAAAACTGAGCAATCAAAATAGTGCCAAATTGTTTATTTTTACGCTTTTCAGTGGATGCAAGTTTTTAGAGACCAAATATCCTCCTGCAGGGTTTGCAGGCATTGTTTTACCAACACAGGCACACTCCTGAAAGTAATACAGACTGAGAACAAAGCCCTTTGGGGCAGGGAGCATCTTTTTGTTCTGTCTGTACAATGGCCAGCACAACGGGGTGCTGGGTCCAATGACTGGAACTCCTAGGTTCGATGGCAGTATAAATACTACCACATACTGCATCTATGTTGGGTGGGCAGGGGTGATATCATATACCATAACATTAACTATGCTGGTAGAGTTATAAGGTACTGGTTTTCAATTATTAGATCCTCTAAGAATGAGGCACGTATTTGACTCTAGGAAGTAGTTCCAGTGAAGCAGAGTGTGAAGGCAGGCACATACTTCTTGTGGGATCAGGGCCTTATTTTGCAACTAAAGAATCATTCTCATCTATAGCCCAGAAGATCTATTTGTTCTTTTTAACCCAACATCTCACAAAGCAAGAGCCACAGGGATGCTCAGGACCTTGCGGGAGTAAAATGAACATAAATGGAGTTCAGAAGAAAGCTCCCAGACTTTGCAGAGGCAGTTATGCCTCGGAAATTATAGAAGGAGGCAGCCACTGGGAATAGGAATATGAGGATTTTTACAAAGGAACAGAGCAGTTTTAAGATGGGAGTGCTCATCTTCTAGCCCAGAGACCACATCCAACCCGTGGAGCAGTGTGATCTGTCCTATAGGGCTCCCCAGGGATCTGAAAATTCAGCAGTGCAAGAATGGTATCAATTAATGCTGCCACCGCTCCCTCAGCACCAAATTTCCAAGCCCTGTGGACCAGATGATGTAGCCCCTGTATAGGATCTGGATGGCAGACACAGATCTAGGGCTGGGGCAGTAGGCCTGATCCAGCATGAGCACAGGTGGGGTTGGGGCAACAGGCCTGATTTGACACATGCTGCATCAGGGCCATGTATCAGATCCAGCCTGCAAACTGGCCTCATACCACTCATCTGGCCAGCAGGGCTGAAAGATAGGGCACCACTGGTTTAAGAGCATAACTAGAGTCTCTCTGAGGAGTGAATGAATGAGAACAACCTTCCTAGGACAGACTGTAACAATTAGGTTGGCATTCTGATCTTTTCTGGAGGCCTCGATGATTACATATGAACACCTAAGACCCCAAACATGACACTTATGCACATGTTGGCATTCTATTTCTGGGCACATACTTAGCTGCTCATGTGCTTGATGCTGTGTGTAGGAACAGTATGCCAGGCTTTGCATAAGTGCCATTTTTGAGACCTATATGATTAAACGCCAAGGTCACAAGTTTGATCCCTGTATGGGACACAAGATGATTCCTGCCTCACGTAGGAGGGTTGGACTAGATGTCCTCTTGAGGTCCCTTCCAGCCCTGCTATGATGATGATGATGAAATCCTGTTGTCTAGGAGTCCAGAAAAGAACAGAATGCCACCCCTGCTCAACATACTACTGGAAAATGATCGTATTCTATAGCAGCAGTTCTTAATCTTTTTAGACTCAAGGCACCCCTCATCAGAGTCAGGGCACCATCAGAAAATGACAGCTCTTAGTTTTCACTCATTTGTTGACTACGGAAAAATACTAGAGCAAGTTTTCTGTTGGAAAAAACTTGGGATCACAACAGATTAGGGTGTGTATGATGCTCTGTATTCCTTTTTGAAATTTCTGAGTTTATTTTGAATCATGAGTAGGTGTAACCATGCTGAGTAAGTGTAACCATGCGTGGCACCCTGTAGCACCCTTAAAAGGATTTTATGGCACCCCATAGGTGCCACAGCACTCTGGCTTAGAATCACTGTTCTACATCAATACGCTCTGTCAACTCAAACAGCCTCAGCTATGTGAAATTTCAGTGGCAACACCAAACGCATCCAGGGAAATTCCCAATAAGCTACGGTTTGCATCAGGCATCCTTTCCCTATCTGAACACAGAAATAAACAGCAAAAGCTGCACTATCCATTGGTGCAGACTACACCAGGACTTCATGCCAACACAACTATGATGGCAGCTAGACCCCTGACAGCTGACTTGGGGCAACCTCCAGTGCAGACAAGATCTTAAGGGCTTGATCTTACATGCAGTGAGGTCAGTGGCAAAACTCCCACTGAGGTGTGATCAGTGCTCAGGTTAGGTGGTGGCCAGATAGTCACCTTAGAGGAATCAGACCTCATGCTTTAGGGATAGAAGGGCTGGGAAGCAATTTTGTCCTCTTTTCTCCCCCACCACACACACACTTCTAGAGCATAAGTGAAGAAATGGACAAAGGAAGGCCACACCACTGGGTTCCTGAGGTCAGACAGGACTTAAATGCTATAAACAACACTCGAGCAACCAACTCAAGACCCAATACAAGGCAGAGAGAACATGCAGCATTTGGCTGAATCTCCCTGAACTCCTGCTAAAGCAGCCTGGGTTGAGACACCTGCCTTTCATTATAGCTCTTAATTCTGGTATAAGAGGAGCTCAATGGCAGAGCAGCTGTTCTTTTTAAAGCAGTGATACTAAAAGTACAGCCTGTGGGCCAGATCCAGCCCATGGAGCCGAGTCATCTGGCCCGTGGGGCTCCGCAAGGGTCTGGTTATTTGGCAATGGGGGAAGCAGCAGCAACATTACTTGCTATGGTCTTGGGAGTCCCCTGGCAATGAACACTGCCACAGCTCCCCTATCACTAATTTTTCGGATCTGTGGGGCTGGATGACATGGCCCTGCACACTGGATTGGGCCAAGACCAGACCCAGCACACAGCTCCAAACCTGGCACACAACCTTGGACCCAGCACATGACACCAGACCCGAAGCGTGGGGTCTGTTCACAGGCTGGATCCAGCACATGGACCAGCTGAGCCCCACTCAGTGGTGCCAGAGGACGGGAAGAGGGCCAACGTAGTTCCCATTTTCAAAAAAGGGAGGAAGGAGGACCCAGGAAACTATAGGCCAGTTAGTCTTACCTCAATCCTGGGCAAGCTTTTTGAGAGAATTATCCTGGCACATGTCCATGAGGGGCCAGCTTAGGGGCAACCAACATGGGTTCATTAGAGGCAGGTCCTGTCAGACCAACCTGGTGGCCTTCTGCGACCAGGTCACAAAATCCTTAGATGCAGGGGTAGCAGTGGATGTAGTCTTTCTGGACTTTATGAAGGCCTTCGACACCGTCTCTCACCCCATTCTCATTAAAAAACTGGGGGACTGTGGTGTCAACACCCACACAGTCAAATGGGTCACTAACTGGCTGGAGGGTCGCACCCAGAGAGTGGTGGTGGATGGGTCATTCTTGACCTGGAGGGATGTGGGCAGTGGGGTCCCCCAGGGCTCAGTCCTTGGGGCCGCACTGTTCAACTTCTTCATCAGTGACTTGGATGAGGGGGTAAAAAGCACCCTGTTCAAATTTGCTGACGACACTAAGATGTGGGGGGATGTGGGCACGCTAGAAGGGAGGCATAGGCTGCAATCAGACCTAGACAGGTTACAGGGGTGGGCGGACGAGAACAGGATGGGTTTCAACACAGACAAGTG